TAATAATAATAATAATAATACCACTAATACTTATTACAGGTCCTGTTCTAAATATATCATAAGTCACACAATTAAAGAAATAAAATATGTTCTTAAATTAAAAATTGCACAGAGGTAAGACTGAGCTACTGATCCTAAACGCGAAATATCGTCCACTACCGCCCGTTAACTCAGTTGCAATTTGTGACGCTGTTATCAATCCATCAAGAACCGTCCGAAATATCGGTGCGGTATTTGACTCATCACTATCAATGGAAGACTATGTCAAGGCAACCTGTAAATCTGCCTTCTTTCATCTGTCAAACATAGCCCGTATACGAAAACACTTGTCTTTACAAGCAGCAGAGTCCCTGCTTCATTTCCTTGAGACCTTCAAGCTGGGTTTCTGCAATTCACTTCTGTGCAACGTTTTCAACCAAATAATACAAAAACTTACAAGCATGTAAAATTCAGCGGCTAGCTAGTTATAGGCTACTAACTTATACCAACAAGGAAGAGCACATCACACCTGTGTTAAAAGAATTACACTGGCTACCTGTAGAGTTCAGGATCCAATATAAAATCATACTAATGACTTTTAAATGTTTAAGCGACACCGTCCGTATATACCAAACTGCAGTCTAAGATCAAACTCTAAAGTCTATTTAGTACGCGAACAATACCACCTACAAGGTTATTGCCGGAGAGCTTTCTCAGTTGCTGCGCCTACCCTATGGAATGCCTTGCCAGATAAGCTTAGAGATCATACGCAATTTTCCGTATCTTCATTTAAGAAAGCTTTTAAAACACATGTATTTAAAAGAGCTTTTAAATTATGATTTCTGATGTAAATTTTTATTGTTTTAATTTGTTTTGCTTTCATTCACTCATTTAAATTGTAAAGTGCTAATGAACTACACAGAATTAGCGCTATACCAATGTTACATATCATCATCATCATCATCATCATGATCATCATGATCACTATCATCATCGTCATCATTATCGTCATCGTCATCGCCATTATTATTATTGTATATCGCATTGCCGAAGCTGAAGATAACTATCGTCCCATTTCTTTACCTTCGTGCCTGGCAAAATAATGGAGGTAGCTGTAACTTCCTCTATTGTTTTGCACATTGCTTGTCATAACCTCAGCAATCCTAACTTCCCTTGGGCTTATAAAAAAAGCCATTTGACAGAACTCTT